TCAGTAGGCTCCATATCTAATTACAGCTTATCTGTGACCCATTTATAACCCATAATTAATCAATTTTAATTATTAACACCTTTTCCAAATTCACCAAATCATCTATACCTTCACTTGTAATAATAACTGACGATGTAATACATAGTTGCAAATACATTATATGTATATATTATAGATATAGCTATTATTAGTTGGTTTCTGGGTGTGTTGATTTTTCTATTTTTCTAACATTAGTTTTATTTATCATTCCCCACCTACCCCGTTTACGAAATACATTAACTGGGACGTAAAACTCCCAAAACTCAGCTCAGTTTGGGATTGTTTCTGTGTGGCAGTCATAATTCAACATTACAAGCAAGAACTAGATAAATAACGACGGCATAACAGCCATTATCGAATCGGTGATTCCTAATTGCTCGTGTAATTAAGCCATGAATTGTCAAAAACACAACTGGAACTATGTACAGATGATATGAATGCCTCAGCAAAATTCGTCTATTCAAAAGCTTATCTCAAACCAGAGCAGGTATCAATTACCAATCACCGACAATACTGCTCAGCCCTGAATAGTAACCCTATTTCCCCACGGACTGGATTTGACATAATGTGATCACAACTGACATACATACAGCAGCAATAAACGTTTGAACTATTGTGTTTTTGTAAATGCTGTTGTATTATTCGGTATTTGAAACATGATAATGGGCTTCTTAATTAGTTATTAAAGGTTTTCCATTTGTACAAATTGATGTTACTATGGTAGAAAGAAACATACCATAGACAAACTGGAAAGCACGAAAAAGAAACTCTCAAAGCTTGATCTTATTAAAAATGATATCTCTTAAATGTTACATTTCTCTGTGCAATTGTATCACAGACAGGGGGAATGTAGTTTATCATGTTTGCAGTGATGTCACAACAGGTGACGAAAACAGTTGATGTATGACGGTGATAATTGATAATGATAATGATCATGATGCAGCATGTGATATTGAACCCACTTATGTCTCTTTAATGTATTTGCAGTGTGTGTGACCAAGGAAACAGATACAAATACCAGGACTTAGTTGATCTAATTGATAAAAGGACATTGGCGGTTTTCAATAAAGGGATGCATTTTGTGGATATACTATGTAAAACACAATTTGACCAGGAGCAAGATGTTTTCTTAGGCATCGGGTACATCCCCCCCCCCCCCCCCCCCCCACCCCCCCCCCCCCCGACGGTTCTAAGTATGTTACAAACGATATTTTCTGCAAAATTAATCAATCAATCATAAACTGTATGGCACATAGTAAACATGTTGCCCTAATGAAAGATGTTAATGCCAGGACAAAGAAGTTGTCCTTGTAGGATATTTGACTGATTGATTGTGAAAGACTTTGAATTGGATAATACTGATATTGCGCAAGGACTTAAACCTGGAACTGTACAAGGTACACATACTGAGTAGTGAACAACTTTGGTACTAAATTACTTCATTTGACACGAGTGGAAACTTAAATAGGTATATATACAACGCTAAGTATTGGTAAAGGATTGGCAAATCAACTTGTAGATATCCTTTCCTATCGATTATGACATGGCATCACCATCACTTTTACTACTTTTGTGGACTTTAAAATAATCATATTTGTTACGAGACGTGCATTATCCTGTGACGTTCACTCTAAATTCAAACAAACTGCCAGTTAGGAAACGAAAAGCGTCATGCCACTGATCTAATTCTACAGTTCTACGCCTGGTTTAAGGGGGGTTTCATTATCTCTTTGGGTGTGATGCCATTCTTCCAAACTGATGTATATAGCCTGCAACCTAGGGGTATCGCGGTACTTGTCATGTACGCTGAACGGAACAAAATGCACTCACTAACATTTATGATTATTCGAGGACATACTTCTACCAACCACTTAGTATAATCATGCCAGACATCAGTGATTTGTCCAGACATGTGCAAAGACAGCACAAGTAAAATTCTAAATGTGTTATCAGTAATAGGTATTCAATGCATATTTACCGAAAAGTCTGAGAAAAATATTTTAAAAATCAACAACAAAATATCAGAAATGATATTCTAAGATTGTTTAAAAAAAAAATTGAATGACAATAATTTGTCCCAAAATGGAAAAAATGTTAAAAGTCAACAATAAATATATAAAAACCACTCCTAGTATGCCCAAAGTATGTATTTATCTTTTGGCTTCTAGTGAAGAACGTATTTCTAAGTTTGGCATTATGGCCCTTATGACCTCCCAATAGATTCTGGGCACAGAGCGGGAAAAAATGTGCGGACTACGTAACTTCCGTTACCTTATTAATCGCCATGAAAAGCAGATGATCTAGTCCAGGTCGATAGAGAAAGTTTACTTGGGGAACTGCGGGTTATATCGTTGGTCATTGATAGATGGGGGTAAGGCAATATTAAAAAAATATACCAGAAGTAAGTATCAACACATTAATAACTCCTTACTTACAGAAGACGGAACATTCCGAGGGAATTGAAATTGTTTACGAAGTGAGCACTTCCTGGTTACTGATTTGCATTAATAGACAGCCGCTAAGAGGCGTGTCCCGCGTGAATTACCGGAAATCAGAAATGCCGCGATACGATGAATGCCGCGGTACCATGGGGTCCGAGTATACTAGTACATGTACATCTGGGGGCGGTGGGGTAGCTCAGTGGTAAAAGCGTTCGCTCGTCACGCCGAAGTCCCGGGTTCGATTCCCCACATGGGTACAATGTGTAAAGCCCATTTTCTGGTGTTCCCATGCCGTGATATTGCTGGAATATTGCTAAAATCGGCGAGAAACCATACTCACTCACTCACTCACTCACTCACTCACATAATTATCACGGCGGGGGACACAAGAAATGGGCTTCACACATTGTACACATGTGGGGAATCGAACTTACGCCCCGACTGTGGTTTGAAGAATACCTGAACATAAAATGTAAAATGAAGGACATAAGTATCTAAGGCTGTAGAAGATCTTTTCAGCTTCTAATCACTAAAGACAGGCAGTGTGGTGATAAGACTTATGGTGTATTTTAGGAAACTGTACGAGTCGAGTGTAATGAAATCCTACTTTATCATATAATTGGTAGGTTTCTCTCAGGATAAAGCCAACGGATAAAAAAGATATCCGTTGGGGTCATATGCGGATGGAGATGCAAATATCAAAGGTCAAGTAGGGACTACTTTCACTGTTTACAAGGAAACATGGCGTCGTCCTTGTCATTCGGCGATCGAGTCATCGGGAATCTGGAGAAACTTTACTGGGATTATTGCTATCATTATCAAAAGAACAGTCTAATATACTGAAAATCAGTGTCTAACTGTGACGTAGCTAAGGAATTTTACAAGTTTGGGCAACTTTGGAGACATAAATTGCGAAACAATTTTGCGAGGGCACTAGTCCTAGCCAAGCGGGATCATTAGCCATATCCATGCGTGTAGACCTCTGCGGCTTGGAACCTTTTCCACAAAATAAAAAAAGTTGGACTTGGCCGAAATATGTTTGAATTGTTACCTTGTTTCGTTTTGTAACTGTGTGTACATCTGACCGCACTTCTTAACGTTATGACAGGTCAGACTGTCAACAACGTCTGACCGTGGCCGTGACGTCTCATAGAATAGGGTTAGAGTAGCTTCCCTTTGGCAAAGGACAGTTACTCTAGCAGTTACTCTCGCCAAGGCTCGCTGAATACAATGTATATTCCTAATACAGGATATTTACCATCCCAAAACACACTAGCGTGATAACCTCTATGTATGCTGCGCCTATATGGGGATATATATGGATACTACAAAATGAACAAGATCCAGCGCAGAACCTGTCGATTCATATAAGGATAGTAACACTTTAAATCTGCTGTTGAAGGCGAAATAGTTAACATTAAATAACATTAAAGATCGCTAAAGAAGCTAAAATTAAGAAGCTAAAATCATTTAGATAAATACAAAATTAATAAAACATTGATTAGGCATCGGCGATATAACGCAATTTGTGAAAACGTTGAACATAAAAGTAAATTTGCTGTAGATAATGATCTAGTGACAAATGCCTCACCTCAGCTTAGCGGACACAGCCCTGGTATATTGTGTTCAACATATGCAGTCAAACAGAATTCACTCCGCTTTAAATTTTCACAATTCCAGTCTTACAGTTCAACATAATTTTTTAATTTTTTTTTCAGATTTATATTTATAATGGGAATATAGGTTATGAATATCTATCTGAATTTTTTCCTATTCAAAATGATATGTTAATTATCTCTTCGACATTAAAATTCGTTTAGTTTTAGAGAGCTGAACTCAAATGTTTTGAAAAAAAACGAATTACAATTACAATACAGATAGACACATACCTGTGTGGTACTATATGTAAATAATATCCTATTTATTTAGTTCCAGTATTATAAATGATCTCATATTGCTTTGATAAATTCTAAAAATATATTCTAGATTTATCAAAGTACCCTAATCCATACGCACATTCTAACTATTGCCGCCGATCCATATAGATATAGATCAAACATGCTGTATGATCGGGCGGAGGTAATGTCCACCTATCACCTGACAACAGACGTTACCTACCAGTATGAAAGAGGGAGAAAATAAGCGTGTTTATTGTTGCATACTTGCAACTTGATGGGCCACATTCGTCACACTTTAGAGCATTTGAATCAAGTGCTGCCATAATGTCGTTCTTGATGTAAAGATACATAAACTTAAATACCTTTACGTAAATCTTTGCCAAAATGCACATACCTTTACGTAAATGTATGTCAATATTTGTGTACCTTAATGTTAATGAATGTGTTATATAATTTACATGCCTATTCATACAATTATGTCCACATTCATCATTACGTATACTTACATTCAAATTTACAAACATAATAACAACAAAGTTATTTATGTTAAGGTAATGTCTTCCACACACACTTCCATCTGTTTTTTTAAAGCGTATTGCTACTTCTTAAGGTCATATTTCAGGGCTTTTTCTAAAGCTGGTGGATCGGAAGTGAACTTTGCCAACTGGCTGGTCGTAGGACTGCCAATATCAGCTGTTTTGTTCGTGTTTGTTTGGGGATGGCTTTACATGTACACTGTGAGAACAAAGTAAGTACATCTAACTTGAAATTATTTTGTTCCATTAGTCAGAATTTCTCGTTTTTCAAATATAGTCTCAGAAGATGTAGCAAAAACGAATTTATGTTCAATTCATGTAGCTTGAATAGTGCAGAGTTAAACTACAAACAAACAAATGTAACAGAACGAATGACCTTATGTGTTTGCGTACTGTAATGACATATATGACATGTACCTGATTTTTGAAAACAGGATTCTCAAATGCTGCCAGAAAGACCAGGATTCCTACGACTCGGTTAGAAACGTTATCAGGAAAGAAGCTGATAAACTCGGTGCAATGACGTAAGTCCAACATTGACACACATACGGTCCTCCAGACAGTAGAACGGTCTCCTCGGGCTCAGTATATGCTACTGCAAGTGTTGTATTGATATGTACATGTACATATGCACCGGACAAATACACCCATTGAATTTATAATTACAACTACATGGCAGGCATTGTGATGGTGAATACTTATACGCATTTACACAAACAGATAATGGATGTGTACATATACACACGTCATCCATTGACAAAATCTGTTGAGGTATACACATACACAGTAAACTGGAACCCATGATCAGCATTGACGCACTAATTCGAAGCTATAAACACGACAAACACACACAGTGTATTGGTGGATACCTACAAACAACATACACATGTCGTGTATTGGAGGATAAATAAAATAGCAGACAAATACATTATATTGGTCTATACATACACATAACTGACTCATACAATGTATGGGTGTATACATACAAACAACAGACATGCAGAGTATATGCGTTCACATAAAACCAACTGACACATACATAATATTGTGTGAATATAAACAGTATATTGGTGTATACATATAAACACCTAAAATATTCAGTATATTAGTGTATACATACAGACACATACAGTGTACTGGCCTTTTCATACAAACAACATACACCTACAATGTATCAGTGTATACATGCAAAGAAGACACGCATACAGTATATTAATGTATATATGCAAACAACAGACACATACAGTGTATTGGATGAGTGAGTGAGTGCGATTGGTTTAACTCCACTTTGTCATGGCATGTCAGCTTAATGTGGGAGTAACGCCCGAAGGGATTCAGGTCTCGTGGAACCCACGAGCATGGGCATGCTGCTGACGAACCTTAAAACACAATCGGGACGAACCGGAATTCGAACCCAGGATCATCTGCACAATGAGTTACGGCGCCTTTTATGACTGGGCCACTCGTTTCCCCTACTGTGTATTAGTGTATGCATACAAATTACAGACACACATACACACCGTACATAGGTATATACGTAAAAACAACACACACATAAATGTTGTTAGTGTATACATACATTCAACTGACAAATGAAGCCTAGTTCCTTTCATTCATCAATCCATCCAACGCCCGACGAGATACATAAACACTAGCGAAGTGTAAAGCCCCATACACGTTCCAATGCACAAACAGCTACACACATATGGCGCCCATGGGGAGCCGTTTGTTTAAATGAGCTCATTCATGACGTGTTGTTCGTTGCCAAAACGATGGTCAGTGTTTTCGACAAATACATTTTCCGAAACTATTTTTTAAAGAATGAAACACAAACATTATAATTAGTGGTATGTTATCCACCGGATTTAATTATTGCGTTGATAACAAAATTGTTACAATCCTAATATTTAAGCAAATTATGAAATGTGTTGAATCTCCTTTTAGGCACACAGCTGGCGGTTTATGAAAAACCTCTAAGTTATGGTGTCCGAAATGCTCGTTCAGAGCAGTGCTTCAGATTTAGTGTGATGCTTTCGGTTACAGTAACCTCTACAAAGATGAACACTCTACCCATTCAATTTGAAACGTTTCCGACATTTGGTAGGGATGGAAGCATTCAACACAGTTCAAGCATGTGGTCTTGGATTTATTACGCTGAATACACCTGACGAGGAACAGAGCTTTGGTGCAACTTATTTACGTCAATTTAAGTGTTTTCACTATCCGTCTGAGCGGAAGTCCGTCAAAATATCAGTATACATCTGACGAAAAAAAGACCAGTGTAGTTGCAGGCAAGTGTGCTGTTCACGCAACTCAGACACATGGCATGAAATACAACGAAATATAAATGAATTGATTAGCCACTGCCGATTTCTATGTTTAACAAACTAAGTTCTGGCTATTTGAAATAGTATATACACTCCTACTTGCATATGTCATGTATGTGTCATTATATTTATTTTCCTTCGAGTTCAGATTCCCAGAGGTGATTGTGTTGGTTAACTTTATCATTTTGGCTTTGCTGTGGGTTACACGGAAACCTGGTTTTATCCCTGGCTGGGGAGACTTGCTGAAGAAAGGGTAAAGTATTAGCTCCTTGGTGATACTATACAATATTCAAAACATACGAAGTGATCGCTCAAAAGGTCAGCTTGGGCATTGCCGAGAATAGAGGCGAACATACGCTCGTGACATAAAAAATAATCTGCAGCTAAACGGAAAAAAACACCCCCCGAAACACCATGAACAAATATGAGCAAAATACGCATTGATGTTTCACCCACTGGCAGTAGAAAGTCTTTATGGCAAAGTGCCTGAACCTGCGATAACCCAGGGTTCAATTTTGTATAGCCATCTGCCGAACTTACTTGCGTCCCATTGGGATTGCCGTTATGGGGGGCTATGTGGACTTTTGATTTTGCTTTTTATCTCTAGTTTACTGAAGGGAACAACGGGCTGTATCTCAGCTTTGTCTAGAGCCTGCTTCGCCAGTGTGTCTGCATTGTTATTTCCATGAATGTCTGTGTTAGATCCAACATAACTTCACCAATTTGCATCGATCCGATAGTTTCGTGTATTCGCACAAAATATTATTGACTGTGTTTGGTCTAGAGTTAGAGGTCCTGCCACTAAAATGGCTTGTAGTGCACTGAGCGAGTTTGATAGGATGACTGCCTTTGCTTCGGGTAGTTACGGTATGATTTCGAGTGCGTGGTACGTATAGAAAAAACAGGTCTCCCCAAAATCAATGAAACCATCGAGTATGTTCTATACCCCGCTGATGGTAATAACCAATCAGCTTGCAGGCCTAGCCCGTCGGGCTAACCCCGTTTATTTATAAAATGATTTCAATTCAGAGAGTCTATGTTTATCTTTACCTTAGAATGTTATTTGTGACTGATATCTTTGAGATTTTCAACATCCTTTATTACTTTTGTTTATGTGTGGTAAGTCTATAGACTTTTTGTGCTAAATCTATCATTTGAAATCAACGCCACGCGTTCTGTTCCAAATTGAATTTAGCGCGGTTAAATCTACTGGTAACCTAGCTCTGCATTGACATCATAGTATGTTTATAACCTAAGTAATCACTGTTTCCTTCAGTCTGACTATAAATCGGAATTATCATACTGGCATTTCCTACTCTCCGTTTGCTCATCCACTTCAAATGGTGTAAACGTATTTTACGCCTGCCAGTGGTACATAAGTACATTCTTGATCGACGGGGGGAACTGGGGGGCTCAGTTGTCTAAGGCGCCGTAATTTGCTGTGCAGAGTTGGGTTCCTTGGGCAGGCCAAAAACCTATGATTATGGGTTCGAATCCCGGTACAGCCGGATTATCTTTCTAGGTTTAATTTCACAGCGACACATCCGTGCTAGTGGATTTCACCAAAGTGGTAAACGTCTAAGAACTGCATCGCTCTTAAATTCAGCTGCATTCCGTGAAATAATTGGAATGCTGTTAAAAGTGACATACATATACCATCTAACTCACGACTGTCACTATGCGAACTATATTTTTGGGAAGAATCTGATAAAGGTATATTTAAGATAATACCGTTCTTGACATCGCGAAGAACCCACAAATTAATTGATGGCTATGATAAAAAGTGTAATATAGATGACAGTTTCCCTGCTACTTTTGTTGTAGATATTCAGGTGATTCTGTTCCCGCAGTTATGATAGCTACCTTACTCTTTATACTGCCAGCAAAGATCCCGGGCGATCGGTCAGTTCAAGGTAAGCTCCAAGTTTGCAATATCTTTGTAGGCCTGAGCAATTACGAACAATAACTTAAAAATGCAATGTACAGATTAATGTGCGTAAGAGGTATCCGCATGCATGTACATGCATATAGAAACAAGTTATTAAAATTGTTATGCATTGTTTCCATCCAGCACAAGGCTATCAGCCTATTCTGACATGGAAAGCTGTGAACGAAAAGATGGCATGGGGTGTGTTACTGCTGATGGGAGGAGGCTTTGCTCTAGCGGATGCCTGTCAGGTAAAATGCATACATTGCTATCAGGTTCCTCCATGAATATAATAGCTCTAGTCGCAGAAAATAAAGAGCTCCTCAATGATGATAGAGTGCAGTCCATTCGTGCTGAATTATTTTGCTAGTTTTCTTAATTTCTACATGATTCTTTCAAAGCCCGACAGGTTTGTGAGGCAAATTGTCGGATGTTCTCTTTGGTCAATCGTCTAGTTTGATTGGCAGGTGGCAAGATCTCAATTTGGATGAAGATTGACCACCATGAGCTAAAGATTTAAAAGATTTTTGAATTATAAACTAGGCCACTGTCAAATCAATTTGTCGCCTCATTAGTGTATTTATCGTCTAGTTATGTCATTCCCATTGGGTTGTAAAGCTGTTTGAAAGTACATTTAAGATGTTACTGGTTTTATAGCTATAGAACAAAGGTAGAAGCTTCCCTTGACCTCGTTCCACATATCGATCAAAGTGCTCATACTCTCATAAGTCAGTGTATGGTGTGCTCTCGCTAAGATCGCCTGTGGAACGGTCTCTGATCTGTCAGATTTAAATACATACGGTCCATTTGATCTGTATTATGATTGTCTTTCCGTTACAAAAATATAAACACGCAACACCCATATATTTCAGGAGTAAAAATTGAAAATTGATCACAATTCATAGTCCTATAGATCACTTTGATCTCAACTTTTGCATTAAAGGTTAAGGCATCAAACACAATTACTGATCCATTCTGCAGTACCATAACAACACTTTTGAGAATGCGTCATGTGAGTCGTTATCGATCTCAGTGACATTTCTCCATCTCAATAAGTTGCCATTACGGGCTTCAGACATGGTATTTGGGGCCATTGGAACAACAGTACAATGCTTAACAAATACGGTTTTAAGGATCATGACACTACCATTACATACATGCCTCATATCTGGTGTTGCTTCAGATCTTACCTTCAGAAGAGCAAGGATATGTTCTTACATATATTAAACTGTAAACAAATTTTTTCAAGCGATCAGGACTGTCTCGGTGGATTAGTGGTCATCTCTTAGAGATGTCTTCACTCGAACCATGGATCATCGCTATGGTCTTATCAATCATCATTTCACTGGCAACACAGGTGACCAGCAATGCAGCAACAGCCACACTCTTCCTACCAATAGTTGGGGAACTGGTGAGTGGAAGACGTTTTTTAAACGATAACTGATGATATACACAAAGAAAATAGTTAAGCACACCCTAATATATGTCATTATTGTTTGGTCCCAATATTTGTAACAGTCATGAAAGATATAATTACGGGATGAATAATGTTTTCTCGAGATGATGTAATCAGTCATGCAGCATGCTACCCTCAAATATATCTAAAAGCAGTATATCCAAATGTTAAAATTGCTTTCTTAAGCTCGTTTTTAAGCAGTTATTCCTTGACATTGTGTGACCATGGCACGAAGGCGATTATCAAACGCCACAAGATGGCAAATAATCGGCATGCATAACCCAGGAATGTCTTGTTATGCCATTGGTCGGAATTTGGGGTATCATCACACTGTCGTAAGCTGTTTAGTCAAGAAACATGCTCAGACCGGTGGTGTACAGGACCTCCTGTGCCGACACATCGCGAAGACAGAACCTTCTTCGTCTCATACACAGAGAACCCATTTTAAGAAGTACTCGTCGGAAACAGCTGTGGTTGCCAAATCGTCGTTTCAGCACCAGAACCGTCAGGAATCGGCTGAAAGCAGCAGGACTGAAGGCAAGACGAGTCATACAGCGTCCCTTGTTGAGAGATCATCAAAAAGCTGCTCGTTTAGCATGGTGTATTGCGCGACAGAACTGGAATTTGAGAACTTGGAGACGGATCCATTGGTCTGACGAAAGTCGCTTTCTGCTCCACGTCAGTGATGGAAGAACGAAAGTTTGGAGGCACCAGAACACGGCCTTCACCCCCAGGAACATTAAACCGACTGTTGTATACGGCGGGGGCTCGGTAATGGTTTGGTGGTATATCGCTCATGTTTGCAGGTTGGATTTGGTCACCATAAGGGGCAACTGAACAAAGGTCTGTACATTCGCGGCGTTTTGAGGCCAGTCGTCGTTCGTCATTTTGACAGCCACCCGCATGCTACTCGACCTCAGTACAAGGATGACAATGCCAGGTCTGTCGTGAATTACATGAGGGCCAATGCAATAACGACTCTAGCCTGACCAGCAATGAGCCCAGATTTGAACACCCTTGAACATGTTTGGGATATTCAGGGGCGGCGCATACAGGCACGAAATCCTCCTGTACAAGATTTACGCCAATCGGAAGCAACATTGCATCAGGAGTGGTTGTTGTGGACCCATTAACAGATACAACGTCTGACTGGAGGCATGAGACGTAGGGTGGAATGCGTCATCCGGGCACGTGGCGGTTATACCCGCTACTGATCTGTTTCACGTGTCATGTCAACTAGAGACTTTAAGGAACATTTTCACCTGAAACATCAAACGAAACTCGTTTACTTAACCCTGCAGCTCCATTCTTTTTTAAGTATTGTCTAAGGTCAAAAACAGTACCTGTGTTACCTTGATGCTCTTGTCAGTAAATTTCAATCACAACTCACCAATATCATTATTTGTTGTCAAATGTTTGTTCTATCCGATGACATTGGTATCGCCCAGCTTCTGTTCTGCAATGAAAACTCTTTAACGTCCCAAGTTTATTCGATAATGAAGAAATCAGGACGCGTCTTCTTTATGTTTGCTTGTTATGTATTTATTTTTTATTTTTTATTTATAACTCGATACGTTGTTAGAGTGTTTAGATAAACATTTTGTTGATTTAATAACACTTCAACATTATTATTGAGAAACGATTCCTTGAATCATCTTTTAGCCAATATCAGTAGTATAACTGTAAATAAATTCAGGTTTTGCTTTTGGTTTTTTGGTTTGGTTTGTTGTTTAACGCCGCACTCAGCAGTATTCCGGCTATATGACGGCGGTCTGTAAATAGTCAAGTCTTGACCAGACAATCCAGTGACTGATATCATGGGCACTGATCCACGCAATTGGGATCGATGACATGCATCAACCAAGTCAGCGAGCCTGACCACCCGATCCCGTTAGTCGCCTTTTACGACAAGCATAATCACCTTTTACGGCAAGCATGGGTTGCTGAAGACCTATTCCACCCCGGAATCTTCACGGGTCAATTAATTCAGGATCACATTAAATCGTTTTCGGCTCAGTTCTCACAATTTTGAAATTGTACATGGACGACATTTCAATATTTCTCGTGCATTTAGAAAATGAAAAGTTAGTTACTTAAACCATATCAAAAATGAATATCACTTGATAATTTGTCCAGCTTATAGCCATCTTAGACAAAGTTACATAAAATCTAAATTTCATCGCAACTATTAGTAATATGAAAACATCAAAATACCTGTTTTACCCCAAAGCTGTAAGAACACAAATACTCCAACTTTAATAATAAGCAATTATGTTGAAACTGTAATTTTTTTTAAAAAGTGAGCAAAGAAATGTGTTGCATTTAACACTGTTTGCACCTAAATTGTATTTCGTTTGTACAAAAAACTGGCCTACAAGTACTGAATAAAGTGAAGACCAATTATTAATAGAAACTATTCATCCTTCAACTTTGCGCGTTTTCTCAGGGACAACATATTGTAGAGCAAAGGAACTTTCATATTCCAACAATCTCTCAACAACGACAACCCATTACTGACATGTCATTTACCCGATTTGGTTAAATCTTGGAACAAAGGTGTATCTAGGGACACTATACAGTATGACTTTATTTACGTTACTATCTTGCTTCCATGGCAACGGAAAGCGGGTTTCAGGTTTCAACCGAATAAGCCTTTTTACCATCATGGCAATAAAACCGAGGCATCTGATTGGTAAAAATTAAGTTGTTCGATTTCGGCCAAAGATATGTAGATATATTTGTTCACACAAAGCATATTTTATTACAATAGCAACGGAATGGAGTCCTCTGATTGGTCGAAATTTAGATAGTATTTATGACTATTTTCCCATACTAATAAGTTGTCTTTTTGAAACCAGGTGTGGATGATCAGCAGAAATCCAAGATGGCCTCACAGTCGCCATTTTGTAATTTACAGGTCTCAAACATCTAAATAAGTAAATGTCTATTGAAGAAATCGTTTTGAAAACTCTGTTAGTGGACCATTCTAACAACCCACCACCATCTACGACTTTGTCTGATCTGCTTGGTCTCCTTCCCGTCGCTTTGGTATTAGGATATTAAAGGAAATGATGTTACCTTGTAGAGTATCGAAATATAGCCTTTGTACAACAGTAAGTTTGATAGAAATCGGTTAAAAGTTTTAGGGATCATAAACCCTTTCATTAAGCCTGCATATAGCAACCAGGTGGTCGTTGTTAAAAGGGAATCTAAAAATGATTACTCATTTGCACCCTTAACCCTTAATGTACATATTTTTACATTTACAAGAATTCTTACATTAAGGGTTGTAACAAGAGTTAACCCTCAATCCTTAATTTAAATTTGTTCTCATTAAGAGTATTTTTCCTAGAGATACGGTCACGACAAACATGAACAGAGTCAAAGTCAAACGTGTTGCCGTGGAAACGGAATAAAAAAAAATAGCAATAGCAAAGGGCACACGTTGGCAACCTGGTCTTTGAGTGTGCAAAGAATACCCATTAGTTTCAGAGATATGACCTGGACAAACAATTATATATATACTATATCGCCCGGTATACATACTGAAGGGATAACAAATCATTTTCAGTACACTATTTAGTGTAAATTAAAACCAGGGTATATACCACTGGCAACATTACATATATGATCTGCATATTGTGAGGTTGCATGACGATTATCAGAATTATTATATGGGTTCAATACTTGATCTGTTCGAAGTGGTGCACAATATCAGCAAGGATATCATCAAATATGGTAGTATACATGAAAGATATTTTTTAACTTTATTTGCCCAAGCTATTTGTAAACAAAAACATCCACGGAGGGAACATATGTGGTTCAAGCTTGTGAGTCAAGCATCTAATTAAACACAAGAATGCAATCATCTCTAATTTTTATGTATGAGCCAGATTGCTGTTTATATACATATGTATTCACATGACATTGAAGTATTTGATATTAGGAAATAAATTAGAAATTAAAATATATTATGGTATCATAACATTATGCAGATAAAAATTTAAACTTGATAACAGTTCAGCATCACGACGAATGCCCTTTACAAGATAAACATGTTACAGATAGTCATCAAGGTAAACTGTATGTATGTTACAGGGAAAATGTATTATCTCTGAATTGTACAGGTATATTACATATTCTCTGATTTAACAACATATTTTTTAGACCTATTTTCTGAAACTGCTAAATATCATTGTATATTCATTACTTTCGGCCATAGAAGCCGTGCCAATTCACACTTATCAGAGGGGCACACAAAGTACGTGACCTGGACTACCAGTTCTCGGACTCCCATTTTGCGGAAGCCTCGGTGGCTCAGTAGGTTAGATTTGTGTGCTGGAGATTTGGTGCCAAACTCTGTAAGTGTGAGTTCGAATCCCGGATGGAAAGAGTACCTGAATTACTTTACTGAGTAAGTGTTCTCCCAAATATAACATTTGATATAATTCATATTGCGTACTTTTCTTTATCATACTGATATTAATTATAAATGTACTGTAAAAATATTATTTCCGTCTTTCACCTACGCATGCTATCGTTCTTCTGGAATGAACGAATAGCCTGCTCAACACGTGTTGTACAGATTTCAATATACTCCTCAAAAAGTTTGAGCTTCTCGGAAAGAACTTCGAAAATGGTAAAATATATTAGTTTCTAGTAGTATTAGTAACAGTAGTAGTAGTGAACACATCACACGCGGTAGTGAAGTATGACAGTAGATGTTATGATCACCAACGATCAAGAATGAAGCAGGGGGCGAGATGGAAATTTCTAAGTTGACGTTTTTGGATCAGTAGTGCGGTACAGCCACGATCTGTCAAACGTTCATTAACTCGACGAGACATGGTGCTTATGAGAATCCCGAATTGTTGGAGTCTGTCCCACTCCTCTGTCCACTCGCCTGACCAGGTTAAGCCAACGTGATCAGTGGCTAAGGGGGAAAGGTCTGTGCTCATCGCTGGCAATGGTATTCTATGATAATGTGTTCCTGGAGGTGAGCAATGACAATTCGTTCAGCGTCAGCACGAGCATTCCCGTCCTGAAAGACAAAACGTAGAACGTGCAAATTGGACAACAAAGGGTGTCAATATGTTATGACCAGGTTCAATATGTCATTCTGAGGTTGACATTGGCTTGACGTACGTTTCGATGTCGCTAGACACGACCAAGCCTGTCAAGAAAATGCAAAGTGAATCGGGATTCGTCTGAAAACATTACATGTGACCAGCGACGATTACCCCATGTCCGACGCTGTGTATACAATTGACGTCTGTTCGCAATATGACACTTTGTAAGGGGTGGCAAAACAGGGGATGGTGAGCGATGATGTAGACGATTTCTCATCGTCTGACTCGTAAGCCTGATGAAATTTGCATCGCCTGTTGCAAAAAAACAGCTGTGTGATGAATAGAATTAATACGATTGGCAGAAATAAAGTCAGGAATGGCGCACGTGTGTGGCGCTGCTGCGAGGGGCACGTGCAAACATCAGGCAGTGTTTTGGTGTAAGGTTTCACAGGCATTAACGTTCTTAGGATGTTTGTCGTCAACACTTCTCTTCTAATATTCTGCATTAACATTTTGTATTTCATGATCCCCTACTTCTTTTGGAAAGAGTATCAATTTGGTTTAAATCATTACCAACATGCAGACCATCCAAAGTATGAATAAGTGTTCTGCGTGGTTGCACAGTGAAATGATTCTTGTACAAGGTATCACCCGAGTTAAGAAAGATTGAAAATATACTCAACAACAAAAGTTCCTGTGACACCAAGTGAAGTTTGGTTTTCAATATTGCAGTACATGTATGGAATCAAGTCACAAAAACGCAGCTGCTACAGAAAAGCATGCATTCCATGCAAAAGTTGACTTTTATGCAAGCCCCATGCATTTCACTCCCCAAGAATGGGTATAAAAACAAATGCGTTAACGGGATTCCATATGCATTATTTCGCATCGTGCTGACAACAACCACTGAGTGTTTTACGCAATTATTCAACATTACGAAATGCCACGCCTGTCCGAAAATGAGCGTCTGCGAGCCATTGGTATGCTTGAAGCAGGATCGAGTCAACGTGATGTTGCAAGACAATTTAACGTCCACAGAAACACCATTTGGTGTTTATGGCAACGTTGGAAACAGACGAATGCAGTCAGAGACCATCCTCGGAGTGGCAGGCCACGCGTAACCAATAATCGACAAGACAACTGGATTCGAACAACACAACTACGAAATCGACTTCAGCCAGCAACAGTGACTGCAAGAACCATCCCTGGCTTTGACGAATATCTTCACAAACCGTACGCCGTCGCCTCAGATGTGCAGGGATTGTCGCCAGAAGACCCGCCAGACGTCCCATTGTCAAGCACTTCTACTTTGGTGAAGACAGTGTCTACGCTGGACGGGCACTGCAGTGGGGACAAGTTCTATTCACTGACGAGTCTCGTTTTCACCTCAGCCACGGCGATGGACGGATTCGAGTGTACCGAGGTCGAGGTGAACGTTACGTCAATCATTGTGTCATGAAAGAAGATATGGGGTGGGATTACAGCAAGACAGAGGACCCGTTTGGTAGTGGATAGTAGAGGGAAATCTCAATGGACAGCGCTACCGCGACGAGATCATCGGCCCTGTTGTTCTACCGTTTTGGCGTAGTCATGGCCCAGGCATTACCTTTCAACATGACAATGCCCGGCCTCATATTGCTCGACTTGTTCGGGATTTTCTTCAACTAAACAACGTGATTGGTATCCCCTGGCCGGCTCGCTCCCCTTATCTCTCACCAATCGAGCACATGTGGGATGAGATGGATCGGCGCCTTCGACGTCAACCACGTGTTCCACAGACACTCCAGGAACTTTGAAACATGCTCCAGCATATAGGGACAGATACCCCACGGGACTTTGTGCGACGCCTGATCCATTCCATGAGACGAAGATGTGTTGCTTGCATCGCAACCAGAGGTGGACACACACGCAAACCGAAATTGTTTCAGATTTGGTGAAAAAACATAACTTTGCATTAAATCTTAATCAATGTCACAGGAACTTTTGTTGTTCAGTACAGGTTTGGTGAAAGTTGAATGACAATGAAAATGTTTTCAACGATTTTGATTGAAACGACATGTACTTGGGCGATTGTAAGCTTGCTGAGTCTATTTAATCATTAGGAAATGATAATACTGTTCAATACGTTCAATTATCCCTCTCCAAACTGTTCTTATTGTCATTCAGTTTGGTCATGAATTAATGACAATCACTCCCGTCAACTGTGTTTTGACGTAAAGAACACCTACAATTTCATCGGGATTGTGTATCAAACTCAGCAAACATCACTTTTAAATCTATATTTCAAAGAAATGAGCTTTCTTGGCTTCACCTTGCTGATCCGGGTGCTGTCATCTTACGAGTAAGGAAATACTAGATGGCTTTCACCGATGGCTTTGCTAGAGAATTCTGTTTTGAGTTCGTTTGAAATACGTTTAATTGTTTAACAATGTTTATGTCTCCAAACCACCGGCGGTGGCACAAAAGAGTACAAAAGAGCAAGCATGTAAACTAAGTATTAATATTTGACAAGATGACAGTATGTCATGCATAGATATGTTATATCTTTTCTGTTTTGAGTTTTCTTACTGCTTTAAATATTTCATCAATAAATCTCGATAGGTTCTTAAGATCTCTAGTGTTTTGACTGGACAATAACCTCTTGAATGTATACAAATTAGACCAATTATTTTGGTAAGCAGTTGGTAAGTCTACACATCTATGTTTTGACAGAGCCTGGCATCTAAACAGATAATGGAATTCGTCTGCAACTGAAGGAGAGTTGCACAGTTCACATACACGATCCTCTTTCTTTACATTATTCCAACGACCGGTTTCAATAGGTAAATTATGGTTACATGTTCTGAATTTTAAGATTGGAATATACATATTTTGTCATTAGAAGGTATCTTTCAAATTTTGGTGTTTCTGTCAGATACTGATAACAGTAACCTTTACTGCTCAATGCCATATTGCATCTCCATACTTGTAGGAATTGATCCTGAAGTATCTGGCCTACCTTTGCAACCAGCCATGTGGTATTACAAGTATTAGGGTTATAGAATATGTGTGTTAGTCCACAGTTGTTTAATATAGTTTTAATCCATTCTAGCCAGGGATTGCTTACATCCTGATTCCTTTCAACAATGTGATAAATCATTTGTGAAAGTTTCTTATCACACATAGGTGTTGCGATGTTATGCAAGAATTTAATTACACGTTTTGAGATTGTTATGCGTAGAGGTTCCTTGCCTCATTCGCCATAAACCATAAAGTTTGGAGTTGATGCTCTTAATCCAGTAGCAAACTTTAAAAATGTTAGATGAACACGCTCTGTAATTTGTAAATTTTCGTACCCAGATATTTCTGTACCATATAACAAGATAGGTGATACCATAGAATCAAACGCCGATATAAGGCAATCGATAGGTAGATTAATATTTCGTGCTCTCTTCAGGAGACAGAACATAGCTTTCTTGGCATTAGAGGCAATAGATTTGATTGAGCTTATCATCCTTCGATTTCTATTGAATGTTATGCCAAGGTAAACATAGCTATCTACTATCTCGAGGTGTTGACAGCAGAGCGCGCCACTGAACGGTATACAAACCGGCTTTCGACCAGGTTAAACCATTCATGCATCCGTACTGTCATGGTTTTATGAATGCTTAATTTTCAAGTATGTTCGTAGAAAGCTTGAAACAAATTTGGCTTAGACACAGTTGTTCGGTGATTTTCATTGATATCAGTAAACTAAAAACACGCATTGGTACTTTATAATGCTTGGTTCCAGATCAAAACCTTTTAAACAAGTAAATTGACATCAAACCATCATATAAAACCCATACATGAATGCTTATCTTTAGGAACATTATGTAAACATATTTACAGGGAAATGGTTTCAATGATTATTCAACTTCTTTTTCATGTATACATTGGATACGTGATTTGAGGTAGTTTATGTCGTCCCCTGATGACCATTGTTTAATTAAGAGCACACTTGTATTCTTAAACATTTTGCTCAGAATACGTCAATTTTTGGGGAACATTACCTCACAAACAATGTCGCCTCAGTATAATAAATTATAGGTAACCATTGACTTCATTATTATTCCTTCATCCTTCGTATAAAGTTTACACTGATGTATCATTATTTGTAAGGCAGTAATCAGCGTTTGCACACACTTACTCGTAAGTAACAACAGAATATGTTAAAATATGAGTGCAATATACATATGTGATGTTTTTCAGGCAACTACAATGGGCCTTAACCCCCTGTATTTCATGATACCCTGCACGTTGTCTACGTCCCTTGCTTTCCTGTTGCCAGTGGCAACACCACCAAACGCTATTGTGTTTGCATCTGGATACTTACAAGTAAAAGACATGGTAAGACATGGTACCGAATAGTTCAAACATCATTTCTAAATCATTGCATAAGCTTCTGTCTTTTCATAAATATTTAGTTCTGTGGAAAGTTTTAGATTTGGACATTAACCTTTTGAAACAGTCGATCATGTGATGAAACAGGAAACTAAATTCCAACATTTCTTTATCTGAATAAAAAGAATACAGTATACATTCATTTCACTATTCCACAAAATATACTTTATTCTGTGATCCATGGGCTATTTGTCACTAAACGTGTCGACCATACAGATAGTCATATATCTATCTTTCAAGGTTCAGGACAGTCCAAAATGAGAGCAAATGTCTTCTGAAATTTACTGAGAAAATAATGTGTGATTTGCTGGATTTCTCATTGATCGCATCTGTGTGAAATTTTGTGATAAGCGATTCAGGCAAGAAGTAGGCATTCTCATGTTTACCAATTGTGCTCCCCTCCTTGCTGATCGGTTTGTTTATGCATCTGAATCGAAGGTTCTGTTCGGGTCGGCAAATTCGAAACAATAAAATGTCTTTGGCCAAGCAGTTTTACAGCAGCTCAGGGCTTTGAGATACAATCGAGCATGTTCTTTTTCCGAAGATTTCAAAGAGCATCATTGATCTTAATCAGAATTACCAATCCAAGGCCTCAGCTTTCAAAAAGCTGTATGTGAACATGTGGAAGACATTTCTAAATTAGACACATCAGTGACAAAAATCAGGCAAATCTCTTTTTTAACTTCCCTTTTCGCGGAAATATAGTAATCATTACCATTTGTCCTTCACGTAGTTTCATCTCTGAACCTTTCAATGCCTTGTGTATTTTTCGAATTTCTTAATTGCCTCACAAAGTAACTGACTTGAGTGTATTGGGTAGTCATGGAAGAACTATGCAGTATTAGGAATATTACATAATATATGTTTAGCATATTGACTCAGCCTCGGTCTTGGCCCTTCACATACGTACGTATGTGATGATGAAACATCATGTCGAATAGTTTTTGTTTGTCTCATATTTGTGCAAATGCGATAAATTCTAACTCGAATGTTATTGACGCCCAAGCTACATTGTGAATGCATTTTAACACATGAACCGATGACAACATTATTGACCAAATTGATGTGACGAATGTTAATGCAGCAGAGGCCTGAAAGTCGAAGAGTACTACAGGTCATAATGACTATATTTTATTGCAGGTTCTCGTTGGTTTGGGCGTCAATATATTTTCCTTGATTGTTGTCAACTGTGCCCTCAACGCGTGGGCTGTTCCCTTCTATAAGCTCGATGTGATATCGGATATTTCGACCATGAACAGAACACTTGGTCCCAATGTAACAACAAGGATGGTACTCGATCTCACCCTGCCTCCATGATATATCACACGGCTGTGTTTTAACAACACCGTTTCAGTTAACCAGAAAATACTTGTACTTATTCGTGTTTGGCTGGAGCATAAACTTCCATAACACCTTTCTTGATATTTAATATGTTATCTTAGAAAATATTATTTTTCATTTATTGGAAACATATCACTTCTAGTGTAAAATATGAGTTGTTAAATCCTGTTGTCCTATTTCAGTTACCAACTACATTTACAATAAAAAGTCATGTGAAGCAAGATATGATTCAATATAAAGTAACTGGTTAGATAAACATAAATACATAAACTACTATTGAAACATGCTTTTCATATACATAAACTCAAGCAACTATTGCAAATGGATGGGTCTATGACAGTTAGAACCCACAAGTTCTTCAAATTGCCTTGAAACGTTCGGACAAACCAGAAATACCATTTGGTAAAGAGACAAGTACCGAATGGTCTTGAATTTATGATTTGCGAGCAATGGAATTGATGCCATAATTTAAGTGAGATTCTCAGACAAAATATCAGGAATTATCAAGAGTTTCATTTTCAAATACGAAAAGCCCTTTATCCACGTTGTTCAATTATAAAGAAACGTGTTGCAGAGCGTGGACTTGGCTGCGGGTTGTTGTCGTTGGTTTGAATTGCCATAAACCCTATTTAAATGTCAGGCTGTCCTACATGAAACGTGTGTACATGTAGTTGTTACCACTGACAAAGCCTCAAATAACCTAACCAGCATATGTAAGCATCAATCATGGTAAAGAATTTGGTACACTCTGTTACAAGGAACATTTCTTAATGATTTAACCAACAGTTATTCAGAAACAACTACCAATAACTGTTATCATGTCAACAATTATAAACAAATTCCTTGTATGTACAACCTTGTCATAGTTTTGCTGAATCATATTGTTTCCATATCATTATAATACACTTGTTTTAAAATGAAATTGTTATAATGTACCTCCTGTGTATGTTGAATGTACCTGTATGTTTTAATTGTACCTATTGTGCATATATACTGAACCGCAAAAGAAACGTCACCATGGATAGATATGTGAGAAACCTTATTTGTCCAAACACTGTAAACATACTTTGAGACATATTAAAAAGATGAAACTTGGCAAAACTGATCTTCAATATTGAAATTAAAGTATCAAATGTTCTTAAAGTGAAACACAAAACTAGTCTCTGAGAAAATGACATCACAAGTCAGTATCTCGTGTGTCCGCCATGTGCATTGATGACTGCTGTGCAACGTCGATACACAGAATGGATGAGGCGGTTGGTGAAGGCCATAGGCACTTGAGCCCACACTCTGAGGAACGCCTGACGCAGTTCAGCTTCAGTTGTCGGCCTTGGTCGGACGTCATTCAGCCGTGTTTGAATCTCGTCCTACAGGTGCTCAATGGGATCTAAATCGGGAGTGAGGGCAGGCAACTGCATGGTTTTGATGCCATTCTGCTGGAGGAAGACTTTTGCTGCTCTGGCAGCTGCAGTGTGGGCACGGGCGTTATCATGCTGAAACTCATGGTTGCGGCGACGTTCCAAATGAGGTATGGCGTATGGTCTCAAGACTTGATCAATGTACCGAGCTGCTGTGACACCATTGCTTCTCCCTGGACCGATGTCCTGGAAGACCACAGGGCCGACCCATTGTGCAAGACCAATTCCACCCCACACCATGGTGCTCTGACCAACCGACGAGTCTTTCTCAACAACACAAGCATCCGAATAACGTTCCTCATGGCGTCTCCAGACTCTCTCTCTCTGCCGTCTGCTGTTGAGATACAGTAACGGTTCTCGTCTGAGAAGAGGACTCTTCTCCATTGCCGTAGGCGCCAATGCTGGTGCTGTGTTGCCCACTGAAAACGGTCCCGGCGATGACGTGGTGTCAGAATGGGTCCACGGTGTGGCTTGTGACAGTCGAGGTGTCTGCTCGTCAATCGTCGACGCACGGTGTCTGCACTTATGTGTCGCTGGTGTGTCCCCATGGTCTGTCGAGCAGTTTCCGCAGCAGTAACAAAGCGATCTTGAAGATGCTGTCGCACAATCTGACGATCCTGACGTCGGGTGGTTGCCCTTGGTCTTCCACTACGTGGCCGGTAATGTGTAGTGTTGGTGGTCTGGTATCGTTGCTGAGCCTGTATATGGTCCTTACGTTGACTTGAAATGCATTGGCTACTTGTCGGGCAGTTTGTCCAGCTTGCAATCGTTCTACGGCCTTGATGTCGCTGATTTTTAGTCAATCTTGGCATGGGTAGCAGTTCAATAACGAATGAATGTTATCCGATCTGTGTATATTTTTATAGGGCAAAAAATGGGGGAACGCATGTGCATTTCAATTTGCACGGAACACCCGTGCATCGGGTTACCATGGCCGTTGCCGTGATGCATTTGGGCGATCGGTTTTATTGTCATCTGCTTTGTTTTTTTATAATCAAATTTCATTTTTCCGGACAAGGTAATGTTAAATTTTAGAAACTTTGACACAAATTACCCAGATATTTAAATGACAACTTTTCATGCAATGTTACTTGGGGTGAGGTTTCTTTTGCGGTTCTGTATATTTTGTAGTTTGTGATAGTGTAATATTGCCATTGTTTCTTCATTGGATGTTACGCAATACATATCTCATCTAAAACATCTTTGTTGTTTGATAGTTTCTTACAGTTGTGTACGAGGGCACGGTTGGCCAAATCGACGAAGGCGCTGCAATTGGCATCGCAGAGTTTCGTCTAAGACCTGCATCACCTCGGAATTCCTCCCACATGAAGCTGACACGCCGTGATATAATAGGAATACTATCCAAAGCCGCTTTTAACCCAACTCCCTCACTCACTCTTGTGTACGGTTCCGCTTGGTTAACTGGGTTTGTGTTGATTACTTCCGGTTTAGATTTGAAGTATGTTTAGAAGAATGTTACTATGTTCAACCCAAACATCGTGAATATATCATGTGAGTGAGTGAGTGGGTTATGGTTTATAGTCACATCGGCAATATTTCAGCCATATCGTGACTAAATCAAGTTATATAGTAATGAAACACCAAACTGAACTATAAAACCTGTCGACAAAGGACAGTAAAATAACTAGATTTTCACAGTCGTATATTTAAAACTAGCATGTCATTATAAAATTTGAACTATTCATAACAATACAAAATAAAAATGGGCTATAGATCACTAATAACCAAAGATAGGTCACCATACTAGGTACCATGGGGACTTACGGTACTTCTGCAACCTACATGGTACTCCAGCAGGATATACACCATCCCTCTGGCTGCTGGCGATTGTTAGAAAGTTAAGCCAACAATTGAAAATTACAAGTATACTACATTAAAACCATGGTAGAAATAAACGAACAATCGCAGATATCAAATTTACTCATACCAATTAAAAAATGAATTTATCAGTTAAATACTTGTGCTTCAAAAATGGTGTAACAGTGATATTTCTTTTAAAAAGTAAATTAATTCAGAACTCACATTATTAAAAAGGTCCTTCATATTTGATGCTTTGAAATATTTATCCCTTGCGATGGAAAAATCAAAGCAGTCAAGCAGGACATGCTTGACCGTGATTCTTTCATCACAAGGGATACACATCGGAGGATCCTTACCTTTCAATATATACTCATGTGTATACCTGCTATGGCCAAATACGACATCGTCGTATTATGACCTCTTCAAATCTGGACTGACAACCCAAGAAGGTGTAACCAATAGTTGCTTTAATTTCATGTAGTTTATTTATACCTACTTGGGTGTCCCACTTCTTTTGCATAAGATCTCTGATGTAACATCTGATAACAGGCTAATAGTCACTGTATGGAAGAAGAAGAGGTGTCACAGATTTGTTGAGTGCTGCTTTAGCCGCAGCATCATCCATTGTGTTGCCAACGATTCCAACATGGCTGGGCAACCAACAAAAGACAATGTCGTATTGGCCAGTTGCAATGGTATTAAACAATTCTAAAGTAGCAAGAATCAGTGGATGAGCCGAGTTAACTTTTTTAAGTGCCTGTAGGCATGACAATGAATCGGAGAATATTATAAACTGCTTACTTTTACTTTGGTGCTGAATATATTCTAGTGCTGCCAGTATAGCCTTGGCTTCAGCGGTGAATATGGAACTATTATCTGATATTCTAGTAGATATAATTTTGGATCCAACGACTGTGGCACTAGAAGAGTTGCCACAGTCCTTCGATCCATCAGTAAATATAGAGCAGTAACAATCATATTTGCATCGTAATTGGATATATTCCTGCTGGAAGATTAATGGATTGGTTTCTGATTTTTTGTAATAAGCAAGTGTTAGGTCTACCTCTGGTTTGACTAGTTGCCAGGGAGGTGTAGACATCAGCTGATATGGCGCAATGTTATTTAGATCTATGTTAGCTGCAGTGGCTTACATTGTAAGTCTGATCCCAAGAGGTGGAACAAGTTTGGGTTGTGTGTGAAACAATTCTTCGTTGGGTGAGTGAGTGAGTAAATATTGAAAGTCACATTGGCACTATTTCAGCCATATCGTGACTTGAACAAGTTAAACATTTATATTATATATAAAAACCTGTCGTCGAAGGTCACTACAACAACTAGCAATATATCACAGGTAATAATTTAAAAAAACTAGTTTTAGAACTATAAAATTATCAAATTATATCAGACGACCCATCATAAAAAAGGGCTGTAGATTGCCAGCAACCAAAGTTAGGCCACCATACTAGGGACCATGGGGACTTACGGTACTTCTGCTACCTACATGGTACCCCAGCAGGATTTACACCATCCCTCTGGTCACTGGCGATGATCAGAAAGATTAGCCAAACAGTTAAAATCAACAAAAATACTACGATTAAAATCACAGCGAAATGAAAAGATACTTTGAATGATACCGGACTTACGTACCTTCAGAGGGGGACAATTGTTTTACGATACTTCGATCCCCTGTGAAGATACAGCCACTAACAATCTCAGTTATGAATTTATTTTACCAAATTAAAATCACTTTCTATATACTATACATATTATAATCAAAATTTATCTATTAATTCTATTTCTTTTAAAAAAACGATGAGTAAATGAGCACTAATACTAAAAGGATCCTTGATGGGCGAAACTTTGAAATACTTATCCCTTGTAATTGAAAAAAACAATACAGGCAAGCAGTACATGCTTGACTGTGATTCTCTCATCACAAGGGATACAAAACGGAGGACCCTCACCTTTTAATAGATATCCGTGTGTGTATCTTGAATGGCCAATACGACATCATCGAAAAATGACCTCTTCAAATCTGGACTGACAACCCAAGTAGGTGTAACCGAAAGTTGGCTTGATTTGATGTAATTTATTGATACCTACTTGGGTGTTCCACTTCTTTTGCATAAGATCCCTGATGTAACATCTGATCACAGGTTTATAATCACTGTATGGAATTAGAAGGGGTGTCACAGATTTGTTGAGCACTGCTTTAGCAGCAGCAGCAGCCATTGTGTTGCCTTTTATGCCCACTTGACTGGGTAACCAACAACAGACGATGTCGTATTGGCCAGTTGAAAGATCATTATAAAGTTCTAAAATGTTTAAAATGATTGGATGACTAGAAGAGACAACATTATAAATTGTTTACATGCAGACTGTTTTTGAATGTATGCCAAGGCTGTAAGGATAGCATTGGCCTCAGCAGTGAATATAGAGCTATTATCTGGTATTCTAGAGGATAAATGTTTTGATCCAATGACGGTGGCAGATGCTACTTTGCCACCATCCTTGGATCCATCAGTAAAGATTGAACGGTGAGTGTCGTATTTATTTCTTAACTGTAAATATTCTTGTTGATATACGAGTGGATTGGTCTCAGATTTTATAAAACGTGTGAGGGAAATGTCTACTTCTGGCCTCACCAACTGCCAGGGAGGAGAAGACAAAAGGCGGTAAGGAGAGATCAGATCTAAATCTATAGTGGCAGCAATAACATTTGATTTAATCCGAATTCCAAGTGGGGGAACAGGTTTTGGTTTCCTCAGAAACAGTTCTTCATATTGAGGATGAAAAACGGAGTCATATGCAGGATTAGAAGGGTTAGAGTGCAATTTGGTGACATATTGAAGAGATAATTTAATACGGC